ACTGCCGACCTTGTAGTTCAAACGGCTTTGCCGTCTGGCGCATTAACCTACAGCGCCATACCAGGACTCCATACTTTCTCACCCTTTTTGCCAGCACTCACTTTTGTATCTCCAGTCTTTTGTTTTCTTTTTCTTCCTTGGTATTTTGTATCATTTTTAGATTTGCCATCTAGAGACCCTAGGGAGCAGTTCTGCTCTGTCCTACAGGCCTGCTGTGAGCCAGAATGGCCATGATGAGCAGTGGGTATGGGTATAGAATATGTTGAATTTGGGGTCTTTTTTTCCCTTTAAATATGGTTGAATAATACTCCATTATATGAAGAACACTACTTTCTTTTTTCTTCCGTTCATCTGTTTATAGATACATGGGTTGTTTTCATCTTTTGGCTTTTGCGAATAACGTGTCTCTGATAATAAATGGTCCAGGAGACTGGACCATTTACAGTCCTCTAGTCATTTGAGAGTTTGTTTCTCTACATCCTTTTCCTCATTGGATATTAATTATGTTTTAAACCATTGCCACCCCACCCCTGTAAATCCACAATGTTTTGCTTTAATTTGCATCTCTATTGGGTTTTAGTCTGATCGCTTCTCTGCAGATCCATCTGCAGACTTCCCCAAGTGGAAAAGTGTGATTGACACCTGAGTTTTCATGTGCAGCTTCTTGCTGTACAAAGCCAGGTTGCCCGCACTTAACTGTCAGCTGTGCCCAGCTCTGCCTGCCCAGTGTTCATGCACTCAGATCACCCACCTTCTCCCATTCACCACAGCCTAAGACCCCAGCCATGTGTGGCATTGTCCCCACTCTTGGACTCGTCTGTGCAAGAGAAGTGAACTAGTGAAGGGCTTGGCTTGGAAGTCAGGCAGATCTGCATTCAAGTCTCATGCCAACTCTGGTGGACTTAGGCTGATGATCCTGGTTTTGAAAGGCTGGACAGATGGGACAGAATGGAGATGGTAGAGCAGAAGGACCCTTTATAACAAAGGACTGATGGCAGGAAGGAAGGGTTGCTTTTTGAAGACAGGAGTCGGACTTTGGGATTGGAAAGACTTGGGTGTGAGCCAAGACCATTCTCTTCTCGGCTGTGTTTTGTGACCTTGGACAAGTCCTTTGCCTCTGTTTGTTTGTTTTCTGTTAAATGCTGTATGCCACAAAAGGGTTGTAACTCTCCTGCCAGGTCCCAGGGCATGAGAGTGAGGATGGAGAGGAGCCAGGGTTAAAAGGGCCAGCTGGTACCGAGGACAGAGAATCAAGGTGTGGCTACCCGCCAGCCCAGGAAAGGGGCCTCTGGCAGCCTTGGGGGTACACCATGTGGCCTTCCCCTCCTGGCCTCGAGGCCACCTGCCAGCAGCCTCTCCTTGCCTGCTGAGAATGTTTGGGGTCTGTTAGTCAGGGGCTCTCATGATCCTGCTGCCTGACCCTGTGGCTGTGCAGTCTCTGCTGGCTTCCAGTGGCAAGAAGGCCCTAGGACATGCTGAGCAGTGTTTTGCTTTCCCCACAGCCCTGCTTCCTCAAGGACTGGGAGATGCATGTCCACTTCAAGGTCCACGGCGCGGGGAAGAAGAATCTTCATGGGGATGGCATCGCCTTGTGGTACACCCGGGATCGCCTTGTGCCAGGTGGGCAGTGGAGTGGATTGCACTTGGCTTCTGTGATGCAGTGTCTCCCAATCAGCAGCACCTGTTAATACACTGCAGTTTCTCTTAGATAAAACCTGGGTTTTATCCTGAGGTTGGCTCTGGGAGGAGTGTCTCTCAGCAAAGAGGAGAGGCTGATCCTACAGCTCAGCTCTATGCCCTAAATCAAGCTCCTCAATATCCCCAGCTGAGTTTTCCCCCAAGCTGCATACTGTCCTTAGACCACTCTGCCAGTTCCCATTGAGTCAGTTCTGATT